GAATTCAAAAGTTCTAAATTTAAAAAAAAATTAAAATAGGAAGAAAAAGTTTCCTAAGCCCTCTCACCTACAAATTATTTTATATACTAGTGGGAGACCTATGCGATGCACATAATTTATTATATCTTTCTATTATCATCTTCTGACCAAACTCTTTGTAACCGTAATATTACTGGCCAATTCGATAGAGGGTTTATTAGTAAGGTGATTATAGAAAAAGAATAACAAATTTCGTGCATCGCACACAGCGCCCACTAATATATATATACTAGAGTAATTCGTATCTGAAGACACTATATAATGTGAATGATTTTAAAAGGGAAGTTAGTGACCGTTAGATGAGTTATTTGAAACCGTCAGATGAACTTATTAAAGTCTATTGTATTTATATTTTAGATATTAGTGAAATTAATTATGGGAGAAAATGTTAGGGAAGCTTTTTCAATCCTATCTATTTTATTATCAGAGTTTTGAGTTATGGAATTAAAAAGAAAAAAGTTTTTTCACGAATCAAATTCCATCATATTACCTATGCAATCACTCAACACTCACCCCCTTGCAAATATGACAATTCATCTTATCTCACCATTTCCCTTTCTTCAAATTCTCTGTCCTCTACTCCTTTTAACTTCTCATCTTTGTCTCTTCTACTCTCTTTAACAATAATATAAAGATAGTGCAAAGAGTAAGGTGCAAATGTCGTGCATCACACACAAATCGCACGGTACGTTTTCTAAAAGTAAAACCACTGGAACTGCAGGGTCCTAAACTCACTCACACACACACACACACACACACACACACACACACACTCGGCCACTCCATGCATGTTTAGCAAATGAAGGAAATAATAATTAGGCTAGAGACCAAGTGTACGTCCAGTAGGGGTGCAATTCGGACAGATTGGACGAGTTAGAGATATGAAGTTCAATCCAACTTCAAAAGGAATCAAAATATTTAACTCAAGTATTGTCCCAGTTAATTTGTTAAATTTTGAGTTGAAATTGGGTTAGTCAATTCAGTTTCAATTTTAGGCTAAATTTGGGTTGAACCCGTGAACCTTCCATATAATAAACGTGTATAAACACCAAAACCCAACAAAAGAGATTACAAAATATAGTTAATAGTCGATATAACCAATGGAAAAACAGATCAAGGAAACTTACTGATGCAGCAAAGCAGGTAGAAACAAAGGTGCAATGAGCAAAAGCGAGATAATGAAATTAAATCGTTGATTTGCACACAAATACTAATTTATAATCCTACTCTAGGACTGTTAATTTTGCAGATTATTAGTCTTAAATGTTATAATTAATCTGTTAATTCATAAGAATACCAGAAGAATTGAGAAGAAAAGATATAACGCTCTCAATATTATTAATTCGTTAATTGCGTAATTAAGCAATTAATATAGATTTTTCCCAAAAAAAACTTCCAAACTAATTATACAACTAAAAATTACTAATCACCTAAATTATGTTAGAATTGACGACGATCAATTCTAACTTAAAACGGTGAAGTTAGGTGAAGTTATTCATCTATAAAAAATTATTAGAAATGAAAAAAAAACACGTTTTTTAGCCCTAAACGAAGAAATTCGTCCAAAATCCATCCTAGGTCATTGCATCCGCTACTAAGGGTGCTATGAGTACATTTTACCTTGTCGTTTTTTATTGGACATGGGTGTTTCAAAACTCATGTATGTGAAAGTGACTCTGAAAAAGTCAACCTATTTGACCCATCTGACTCATTTCTAAATTGCTCCCAGCGATTCAAATGTTGTGTTACTATTCGATCTGCATCACTTATCTCAATTAATCTCAATTTGACCGAATGACACACTTTGAGTAGTAGCTAAATCCATTGAAGCCCGATTACAATCCAGGGAAGAAAAAAAAACCCTAATCAAACCAAAATCTCACAAAAAGAAAAAATTTGAAATGATGCCCAAAAAATCATTCGTTCCAGAAACCAAATGGAAAAGGAGAAAGATGAGAGGCGACTAAGAGATGAGAGCTAGAGATGTTGACATTATGCTTGGTTAAGTAAAGTTTTGATGATAACAAACATTCTTGCATCATTGATTATCTTCTTGTAAACTTGGTTGAAAGTGTTGCATATGTTTGACACAAGATGAGAAAGGTTGGATGTTCAATGTGTTACACTATGTATAAAGAACCAAAAGAGAAGACGTGATGAATGAAAATACAAAGAATAAAGAAGAGTGGACATTGCTAAATAAGGTGACTGAATATGAGAAGATGCATCTACATGAAGAGAATGAGTATCATGAATTTAGGTGGATTAAAGTAGTTGAAGAGCATGGCTTGAAAAACTTTTTCAACAACTTTGTCATTTTGATGTGCATATGAGGACAACTTGAAGAGGTTAAGAATCATTGTTATATGATCATTATTCAAGTTAGGAATGTGATTATAGTAGTTGAGAATAAGAGTTGGAAGATCAAGAAAAAGAAGTGAAAGACACAAGCTAAGAAGGTAGAATCTTGAAATCTATCAATTTGACATAGTCTCGATAAAATGGTAATAACTTTTGATAGAGATGTCCAATTGATGTGATTCAAACATAGATGGAAAAAAGACTTCAAGGTTTACAAGTTTGTTTTTGAGATTTGAATGTCTTCTATTTGAAAAACAACTTGGAAGTTGAAAGATATGGATGAAGGCTGAATAATCAAGAGTTTCATACATGTCTCGGTATTTGAGAAATGAAATTATACTCAAATGTCCAAATAACTTGATTCCAACGGTATTGGAAAGAAGACATCCACATCTACAATTTTTTCAGAAATAGCTTTCTTGAAATTCCAACGTTTTGAGGGCCCAAATCGCATTGGAATAAAATGGCAGTGCATAGAACCAATATACTGGATGATATATCAATGAGTATTTGGTCCAATGGTACTCCTTACCTTGTAAAGACTTTACTTTTTTAAGGTCAAGGGTTCAAGATCCATTTTCCCTCCCAAAAAAAATATATTGGATGATATGTTGGATGAAGGATCCGACATGCTGAATGGATGAACCGGTATGCCCGTTGGTGAACTGGTATACCCATAGTTTTAAAACCCGACCCAAAAAAAAATTCGACAAAAGAACTGAGTTAATATGTCACTGATTCAACCGTTAGGCCACTGGTTCAACTGGTAAAAATATAAAAAATTATTATTAATAGTAAATAGACTAAAACATTATAAAATTATCAAAATAGCATTAATATATATATATATAATCAGAAAAAAAATCCAAAAATTATCGGTCAAATACATTCAATAGTGAAGATATAACAAATTAACAGATGGATATCTAAAAGACAAATAGATAAACATAATATAATGTTGGCCGAACTAATCAACAAACCAAATCAAAAACAAAAGTGACTAACAAATCTAAGACAAGAACAACAACCACCACCAAAGTCCAAATAGTCAACGTGACTATGCGCAATACACACAAAAAAAAAAGGCCAATAAACATAAAGAGAAAAACGTATATCGATGAATTATGTATACCTGCTGAGTGAGTGAGTGATCTATGCATACCACACCCAAACCACAGAGAGAGAGAGAGAGATGGTGATGCACTTGCTGAGTGAGTGAAGCAAATTGTCAAGGTTCAATGACGTGAAGAGAATCGTCTAGGAGGATCGATCTGACATAGTGGTGGAGGACTCCTCCTCACTCCTGTCTTGCTTTTGTCACTTCGTTGATTCGAAGACCCGTTGAGAGAGAGAGAGAGAGGCCAAAAAGCAACGTGGAAAACAATTAGGGCAAAAATACCCAAACGTCTGCATTTTATAGTAGTTTAATTGACCCGTCCAGTTAGTTAAAAATCGTTCAACCCAAACGGTTTAGGCAAGAATCGCCCAGTTCAGCGATTTTTTATCGAGTTTTGTGTTGAACCATTCCAATGAAGTAACCGGACTAGTTTAGTGGTCAGGTCACCGGGTAATTGGGGTCAACCAGCCAGGCCAGACCAGTTTTAAAATACTGGGTATACCTTAATTTTTCTCAATATCTCCCAGTTTCAAAGGCTTGAAATGAACTAGTATGCCGGTTGGACAAACTAGTATGTCTGATATATCTGTTGAAGGTTCTAACGGTTAATTTTTCACTCATTTGGTTGTCAAATTACTTCCTCTCTAAAATGGGATTGTGAGGGCTGCCGCAGCTAGATTTTTTGGGGAGTTCTTGGGCATTCAAAGTGTGACATACATATTTAGAAAAGATCAAATTTGTGAGATTTGGGCTAATTGTATTTTTCTCTCTTTGAATTTATTTGAGTGATTTGTTTCTTGTAAAGAGGTAAAAATTATTATATTGAGCGGGCTTCAAACTATATCATTTGAAGAGTGATATTGTAAATGTGTGTCTTCACCTACTGAAGACGACAAAATTGTAAATGATTTGATCTTTACCAGTGAAGAAGATCAAGATAGTGAAAGGAAAGCTTCAAAGAGGAGGGAAGAGAGGACGTAGGTCATCGTGATCGGGGCCGAACCTCTACAAATCGTGCTTGTTCTTCTTCTTCTTTATTATTACTTAATTGCATCATTTATATCACATTACTTAATAAATTGTCTATCATACATATAATTATACAATAATTTATATTTGCATATTTAGTATGATTTAAAGAAGACCAAAATTAATCACATCTCTCATAACCTAATTCACCTCCTCTTTAAGTTACATTTAGGCCAACAAGAGAGACAGTAACCCAAATGGAAAAGGAGAGCAACCCAACCTTAGCTGACTAACTTTTTCCTTATATATAACTATATATATTTCAGGTTGAACCCAAGTTCTGTTTTCAAGTTGAGCTCAATTTTATTAATTCGGGTTAAACAAATGAACCCGATGCCTCAACTCGTTAAAATTTTTATTCTCATGCTCAATCCAAATTTTAAAAACCTCAAACCCTAATTTTTTCAAGTTGGATTAAAGTTAGGCTAGCGTCCAGAGCTGAGCAAAAATTAGATCATCTCGACTTAAAAATTTCCAATCCTCCAATTTTAACATGAGCCATTTTCTCCGGATGTCTTCCGATTTCCCACAACTTCTTGGACATCCGATTTCCCATAACTTCCTGCTGAGAGTGTCTAAACATATGCAACTCTCCCCCTATAGCAACAACTAGGGCGGTCAGTCCAACGAACTTGAGCTGAATTTGAACCAAACTTAAAAAACTAGTGTTTTAATCGAACTTAAAAAATTGTTCAAATTCAACTTGTTTTCTAAACTACCCGAGCCTAAACGAGGCCAAAACTGGACAAACCCAAATATTTAGATACAAACAAGTCGAATCTGTCAAGTTTGAGTTTAGCTTATTGCACTTGTTTTCTAAAGCCTAAAAACTTGTTCAAGTTCAGACTTGTTTAGAAAACGAACTACGCTGAAACGTGAGTCAAGTTCGAGTAACTCAGTTCGATTAACAACCCTAGAAACAATATTGTGGAGTCGAAAATGTTCATCAGAACACTAGAACGAGGGAAAAGGCAAATAGTTTGGAATATCTTTTCAATAAAAAAGCCATCAATGATTTGTATTATTGTAAAGGAGTTCTGATCCCGGAAAAGGCTAAAATCCAATTAACAGCTAGCACAAATAGTTTCCAGCTCTTGGTACAAATCCAACTGTTATGCCCACTTAAGTTAGTATGGCACAGGAAGATTGACAGTTTTCTCTTTCTTGGTGTACATTTGCATTCACCTTGATTTCTTGCTACGCGTTCCCATCCGCGCCTTTGCATATCTAAATTTCTCGTTAAGCAAAAACTTCGATGTAAAAAGAACCAAGAAGAGAAATAGAACAACAAAAACTAGAGGAAATTAAAAAAATCAAGTAGCACTAAAGGATACTCCAGCCGCATACCCTCCTCACCAGGAGGTGAGGAATAGAGAATTGTGCCTTGTAGATTGCTTAGTGCTTCAGTCGAAGAAGCTGTGTCCTATGAATATGGCAACATATATTAGTACAAGTAGAACACAGGATGACAAACGTAAGAAAGAGGGGAAAATGGTGCTGTCATCTATGAAATGCTTACATACGATGCATTTGCTATTCAGTTATAGAAAAAGGAAACATAACTGGAGCTCCAAATTTTAGGAAATTTGCTTGCTAATAAATAATGTATGAAAAAGGCAACCAGGTTTCAAAAGCTGACACCATCACATATCAGGAATTAATTCTATTTAAAGGGCACAGCAACAGTGTTATACTGGATGAAATGTATCCAAATCAAAAATCAAATATTGACCTAACAGCACAACAATCACACGTGTATTAGCCAGAAAATATCCAATATCATTTCTCACAACAGAGTTCAGCTTGATCCTTTCTCTTAGGGGATTACTATAACAAGAAAATATCCAGGTTTCCTAAAGCACCCATCTAATCCTCTCAGTACATGCCTCCTACGTATCCTCCAAAAACCAAACAAAAAGATTAGAAGTCCCTAGAGGTCAAATTAATGGGTTGGGCCAGCTCTGGGCGGGCAGGTGTAATCCAATTCCAATTCGAATAATACGGGTTGGGTCACAACCAGTTAAATCACAACCCATTAACCTGAACATAAGTAATATAACCACACCATTACCGACCCCAACACCAATACTACTACCACCAAGCCCAACACCACCATCCACCGCCACCACCATCGGCCCCCAATCACCACCATTATCATCACCACCGCCTCCTCCTGCTGGCACCATCCCCCCAATCTGCCCCCCCCCCCCCCCAAAAAAAAAAAAGTCCATCTCAGCCAACATGAACTCTAAAATAGAACAAAATACTCGATGGATATCTCTCATAAAGTGTGCTTAGAAGAAATAACAAGGATTCTATAACATTATCTCATCGTATTATATCAAAATAATAATCAGGACACTGATCTTTCTTTTATTTTCTAATTTGAGTACACTAAAATGGATCGTTGAGAAACCACTGACCACAAAAAATAAAAAATTCATAAAGTCCCCGATCAGAAATTCATAATGTGAAAGGTGCATGATTTGGAGGGCACTATCAAAACACATCTCCTTGACTCCATGTGGATCATCAAAAATTCTCAAATCACAATCACTTCAATGATTTTGATAAGCTCAAGGAATGAAAGCAGTAAGATAAGCATTCTGACTTGCTATCATAATTGAAATCGCAAGCTTCATCAAGTGGATTGATGAAGTGAAGTGGCATAATCCTATCAGCAGCACCGTTGTGGTAATTGTGTAGTAGTGGTGGTGGAGGCACGATCATAGTGGCGGCGGCAGTGGCGACAATCATGGTGGTGACTAGGGTTAATTGTGGTAATGGCAAGCTTGTAGTTATGGTGGTGGTGGTGGTAACGATCATGGTGGCGGTGATCGTGGTGATTGGGTGGTGGTGATGCTATTGGTGGTGGCAGTGAAGATAGTGGTAGTGGTGGGGAGATGATGACAATGATGGTAGAGGGGGTGGGGTTGACTTATCGTTCATGATGTAGTTGAGTAACTTACATAGGTCCAACCCATTGGACACACACATCCAACCTACATTAACCCGCTTAATTTGAGTGATATTACCCAACTCGTTTATGTCCCACAAAAATAAATCACATACTCAACCCTCTAATTTGTGTAAAAGTTGGGCGGATTAGTGGGCTGTGTATTAAGATTGCCACCTCTATATGTCTCCCATCCCACAAGGTCAATTACCAAAATAAGTCATTGGAGCAAAGCACCTACAAAAGAGACTCAAATTCCAGGCCTCTAGGCTTTAAAGTAAGCTTTTCGCCATTAATATCATGGACATATGATAGGAAGCGATAGTCCAACCACCTATGCTAGTACTAGCCGTCTCAATTCTACTTCTTAATTCTCCACAGCCTAAAATCTCATTGAAAACATGTAAAATCTAGAACTAAAATATTTGATTCACAAGAAAACAATATTAGACCAAAATCAACTTGGACTTGCACGATCTAGGTTGGTAAACTCGGGCTTCACCCAAAGATCTGAAACCCTCAACCCTAGCTCAGCCCAAACTCGAACTTCAACCTGAGTCTTTTAGTCTCCGTATTTCCCATTTGACATATAAATGGGTTACACCTTGTTCAGTATCCCACTACCCCACCAATGCTACACCAACACGATCAGAAAGAACACCTTCACTGTCACCCTCCTAATATAATCACAACCACCAAAATCTCAATATAATCATCTTTTTGCAACTATCTAGTAAAAAGAATTACGTAAGGGGGAGAGGAGCAAAAGAATGAAGGAGAGCCATGAACATAACGTCGATCGCCTCACTTCCCCTATTACCATCTAGGAAGCACGAATACTTCCAGAGGAGTGTCGTGGCAGTGTCGGACACGATTAAAAGTGTCTTGAATAGTGAACCTCGTGGAACACGATCAAGACACGTGTAGGAATTCTTTTTTTAAAAAAACAACTGTTAACTATTAAAAGAGGTGTTATTTTTATTTTTTTAATATTATTTTTGTTGTGTAACTTATATATTATGAATGTAATGAAATTTGATGAAAATGATGAATATTTATTTTGATCTATTTTAATTTTAATAAAAATATATATATATTTGTTAAGTCTTACTATTAATATTGTTATAATATATGCTTTATTTTTAATATATTACAACTCTATTATTATTTAAAATATATATTGTATTATTTTAATAACCGTATCTATGTTCTATATTTTTAAACTTTGTTGTATCCCCATGTTCGTATCTGTACTTCCTAGATTACCACGTGAGATAAGAGCGAGGTTTGCAAGATTTCATTTAGACATTAAGAGAAGAAGATAGGAATAAATTAAAAACGGGGGTGGCATGTGAGAGAAGAAAAGAGGGGTCTTATACAAAGTATGCATAGTGAGAAAAGAGAAATAGCCTGAAGATGAGAGAGAAACAAAGGTGAGCGTGGGCGAATGTTTAGGGAGAGAAAAAGGAGAAAATGAGGGACGAAAATAAGGAAAGAAGAGAAGGGGGGAAACATAGGTGAGAGAAACAAGAAAAATATTCTTTTCTTTTCAGACTTCTTGGAATTGGACTAAAAATAAAAATAAACTTGTCTCAATTTATGTGGAACAAAAGACTATATTATAATATTGGGCACCCCGAGCACTGCACATAATTTGTAATTTCTTCCTCCATCACACTATCACCAAACCGTCCCTAACCCTAACATTGCCAGAGAATTACTTATTAATGCCTTAAAATAATTTTTTTTTAAAATTAAAATAGTTAACAAAGATGATTGAAAATTTAAATTTGAAATAGTTTAAAAGAGTGGTAGGAGTGATTACAAAGGATAAATGAATAATTTGATTGGAAAGAACTAATTAAATATTTCAAAACTCTAGTAATTAAGCATTAAGGGAGGAAAGTCTTCTCAATGTTTCTCCTCTCTAATTTGATTGTTTTATACATAGATAGATGGTGTCACGTTGAAACCAAAAATCATAAAATAAAATTTGGTTCAGGTCGAACCCGAGTGCTGCCCGAATTTAGATTGGGTTGATTTTTTTTTTTTTGCCCAAGATTAATCCAAGTATTGTAATTCTTAGAATTTTTTGGGTTGGATTCGGGCTAACACACCAAAGTTGTGCACCTACTTTGAATGAGATAGTAAAAAGAATATGGTAAATTACAATATAACAGAAAATATAAAGCTTTCTTGAGTTTAGTTGAGTTATATCATCCTTTTCCATGATTTACGGAAAAAAATATATCAGACTTAATTCTATCATATTTAGTCCCAAGATATAGACTCTGCCACCATATTTAAATCGTGATCAAAATATCAACGGACCCATCATCAGAAGAAATATTCTAAATTTAAAAGGCAAGACTGACCAATAATACCCTCGTAATTAAAAGATTTAAGTCCAAATTTAAAGCAAGGAATTCCTATTTAAGAAAAACAGAGGATAGACCATAAGTGAAAGAATCATAAGTAAGAAACTAAATAAGAGCAAACTCTCTGCTCTTATAAAAACATAACATTAGAAAATTTCATGCACTTGCATTAAAATCAATCGATTGACCTACAGTTTTAACAACTTTCCAAATTTGGCAAGAGTTCCATGCAAATAATCCCAAGCAAGGAGTCAATTGAATAGGAAAATCATTTGAAAAATAAACAAAATCATATATATTTGACTCCCATCAAAGTCCAGCCAAAACAGGTAAATGCTCAGATTTGGGGATGGGGGCCCAGAGAGGGGGGGGGGGGGGGGTTACACAGGTCATCAGGGCCGACCAACACTCCAAACAGGCAGCTATACACAAGACATATAAATAGGATCCTTGAATTTTTCTGGTAAAAAAAATCCAGTTCAGCAGAACTTCCAGCCTAAAGAATCAGCTGATCAAGACGTTCTCATTTTTATTCTGTCCGGCTTACTGAAAATATTTCAAGCTTCAAATAAGGATTATACATTATCTAGACGGACTTATCAATAGAACTAGATATATGCTTAAAAACCTTAAAGGAAATACCCACAAATAATCCAATTTTCCCATACGACAAAGCAATGCCAAAAATAATATAATATGGTTACAAGGCACCCATGCAACTGCAAGTATAAAGAGAACCTCAAGACAGGTAGATTAACCACAGTTCTTGGTTAAATGAATCAGTCCAAATGTGTACCTGAAAGTCCACAAATGCAACCGGAGCTCCAAATGTGCTCTGCATCTTCAATTTCAGATATCCTCGGCACCTGAGAAAGATCAAAGAATTGAAAAGAAAAAGTTAACCAGCAAATTCTACAAAGTTTACACATCACAAAAACACATCAAAATATTTTCATACCTAGAAAATACTTGAATTAGCTCTTGCTCTGAACAGGCTGGCCCCAAATTAGCCACAAATAGTGTCGGACAGGGGGTATTATTTGCCGGAACATAAGGTGCTGAAGATTTGTTCTGCTGACACAGAACAGAATCCTCAAAACTATCACAAATGGTACTTACCGAAAAAAATTACCCAAACTGGTGAATAAACAGATTGAGGGCACATCATACACAAGTTATATAACGAAAAAAATGGCAATACATAATCGGAAAGCAGATATTAAAGTAAAAATCGAATATAATACATAAATAAATATATATGTTGAGTTTGCAGTGTAGAAAGGAATTCAAAGGGCAAGTGGTTGAGATAGTTCTCTGTTTTTCTTTTTCAAGAAAGCATAGCGGCCTTTGTGCTTTTGGGTTTGGAATAACGTGATCTTTGAGCAAAAAGATGTTTTCATTTAAAATAAAATATTAAGAACACAAATTCATCTAAATTTCATGGTTTCACTCAATAGATTCACACGTCTTTCACCAAAAATAAAAACATTTTTATCAGGAAGATGCAAAATCAAAAGTTATGAAGTGTCTTGCATTGTTTGCATTTCATTGTCCTTCTTCAATCTTCATTTGTTTCCTGTTCCACCTACCTAACCTTCTTTTTTTCGATATGACCCTATCTAACCTTCACCAACAATGAACTAACAAAAATCAGATGGAAGTCACAAGGGGCTGCACCATGCAAAAAATGAACAGTTCCCTCCAAGCGCATAAAGAATGATCGGCATTCATACAGACAAGGAATCTTTTTGAGAGAGCTCTTCATCATTTTTCTCCGAAGTTTTTTCAATCTATATAGACTTGTCCACGTCATCACAGAATCATACTCCCTTCACATGTATCGTTGTTTATAGCTACATGAATTTTGTGCATGCAAAGAAGATAAAATCCAAATTAGCTCAGAACTCTAAGTTGGCTACAGTATGAGTCACTTCGACTTCCATAACCTTCATACATCAAAAGGCAAGGTGATGAATAGCAAATATTTTAAGATTAATTTTCTAGGGCATGTAAATTACAGGTAAATGAATGCTAACAGGCAAAAAAGGGAAAAGTTCTCCAAGATAAAAGGCAGATATATAAATCTGATTCACAATACATATATTAGTAGGAACTACAACTCACACAATCTCTCTGAAAGCATCAACAAAAGGTACAAAAAACTTGTAAGAACTAAAACTAACTCAGAGAAGAATAAGAACTGAATCAGAAACCTTACCAACTTTGCAGTGGAAGTCTCATTGGCTGCTCTCCCATCAAAGTTCCCATGACTGCATCAAGGGGGTGGAAAACAGAAATTATAAGAGGTGGCATCAAAGTGGTATCTCATTAGGCTCATCTATATTCCAACTTCAGGTAATAGGGCCTTTTGCAACAGCTTCTACTAAGCCCTAGACCTTTCAGCTAGAAGTAGTCATTACAAGTAAAAAATGTGCTTATCTGCTAGAAGTAATCACATCCAAGTAATAAATGTGCTTAAGTAGTGCAGACGACCTTTGTGTAGGTGGTGGATAACCAATCATGTTGTAAGCAGAACTACTGATTCCAGGCAAGTGGATGCTGCCAACACCTGCTAGTGCCCAACCGTGCAAAAGATGTGCGAGGTGAGCTTTTAGTATAATGTGTTCTCCATGTGACTAATTAGCTCATATGCCAAGAGATCAAACAAGCACAGCGTAACTAACAAAGAGATCTAAATAACTTGCACAAAAATAATCCCACTGATAATGAAAAGAAATTAAAGAAAAAAAGATCCAGAAGAGGACAGACCATAATACATCGTAATCAAGATGACAAGAGCAATCATCTTACCAGGATCAGAAGTGTCCCTTGGAAATGCAGCAGACCCTCTTATTCTTTTCTCTGTTCCAGATCTTTCATCATCTAAAGAAGTGCACCCAATTCAGTACTTCAAAGTTCTAAAAACAATTAAGACTAAAACAGCAGACAGATATAGGAAAAGAAATCAACTTGCAACTTACCCATTCTGGAGCGTTTCGATCTGGAATTAGATTTTGCAAGATCAATATATAAGGTGGAACCCTTTTCAAGGTCAAACACCATCCCCTGCAAACAAAATTGAAGACAAAACGCTCTCCATGTGTTTCTTAAATAATTCAAATAGAGTATGATCACACAGTAGCACTATGGTACACCTAAATTACAACTACATATATATTTTCTGATAGCAAACTTGTAAGCAATGCGGGTCTGACTGAAATTCCTAATTTCTGTGAATTTCCAGCATACCAAGCATTTAAAGAGACATCGTGTCAATATTTTTCCCTTCAGCTCGAGGGACATAGGAAGCCCTTCTAGCAATGACAGAATAACAGTAATCGCAACCAGAACTTTTACCACCGTTCAAAATTTTGTAGAATGCATTAAGATGTCCATAGAATTCAGTCATATCAAACATTATGCACGAAACATTACACTTATTCAAGGCAAGAGTCCTCTTAACTCAGAATTCACTTGTCGTCGTAATTTCAAGTCTTTACAGAAACACACAAGGAAGGATGGCCTTACATTAGTTGCATGCAATGCCGCAATTGCTGACTGTTGATCCACGAACACAGCAAAAGCAAATGGCTGTTCAAACCCAAAAAGTACGTCAGACCAGCAATTCATGAGATATTTGATAAACACAAATGCAACAGACTGAGATACCCAACAACTCATCATGAAGATACACTTGAAGATCAATGAATAACAACGTCCCTAAAAACCTAAATTTAACATTCAATATCTATGAGGAAATAAATGGTACCTGTGTGTTTTGCGTAGGGTTTCGGAGGTGAGAAGATTCGTAGCCTGGGAACTCTCGGAAGAGATTATAGATTTCACGAGGCTTAACGTCTTCGGGAAGCCCTGCGACAAATAGAGTTCTGACCTCATCGTACGAAGATTGGGGGTACGAAGGAAGAGCGTAGGAAGCATATGGGGGTTGCTGAGGGTGGTACTGTGGGTGAAGGGGGTGCTGCGGCTGGGCCACCGCCGGAGGAGGTGGTGGCACCGCCCCCGGAGGAGGAGGAGGTTGGTAGTAGGGGTATTGAATGTTGTGGAGACCCGCCGGAGTAGGGTAGTATGCTGCCATGTCGTCCATCGAAGAATGGAATCGATGGAATCAAGACGCTATCGAGCCCTAGATTTTGAGGCTTTTGCAGTGGTTCGCAACCTTAAGGGGATCTATTTTGAAGCCATAGGCTCATTAAATTGGACAGAGATAGCCCATTTAAAATGGCCAATGTGCAAATCCAATGTTAAAAGTCCAAGCCCTATCGGGAGGAAGGACCAACTCACTAGCCCAATGAGCCCACAATATAGCCCGTCTGGGTATCTCAATGTCTTGCAGTGATTGAATTTTCGTACAAGTGCGAGTTAAAAATCAAAAGGGACGAGAGACGCTTCCGACCTAAGATTACACAAAAGCGGGAGCACATGCAAGAGCGGGAGCAATGTGCAAGAGCGAGAGTGTAAAAGCAATATAATTCAAAAAAATATTAAAATGAGAGAACCTTCACAACGTTATATTATAGACACACACACACACACACCTTCTCTCTCTAAAAAGCGATTGGAGAATCGACTGAAACCAGAGGCTATCAATGCTCCCAGCTACCACCGCTTCTTTGTCTGACTTTCCCACCGAGATGGAGGAGGACCCCATGAAGGCTCATGAAAGGACAGAAGAAGAAGAAGCTCACCTGGAGAGGAGTACAAAAAAAATTGAGGAATCTGATAAACGCCCAGAATAAGACGAAATGCAAGTAGACACACTTTTGCATCGGAGATCTGTTCCCTCAGACATCCAAATTCCAGTGGTATCAAGCCCTATAAAGGGACCCCAACAACGAAACTACAAAAAAGTTCTCTTAGAAGACAACAATGCAATCTATTTCAATGAGGAAAACTATGAAGATTCCACAGATGAAGAAGATAAGGATGAATCAGGGGAACATCCTAAGAAGACCGCAAACCAGAGTACCACCACAATTGACTATTCAGACGAAACTTGCCCAACCATTAATTTATCACAGAAAAACACTCCAAAGAATTAGGGGTAAGTGGAAGGATGGTCTCTTGGTAAAGCTACTAGGTAGAAATATTGGGTACAAGGTACTTTGCATGAAGGTTAGGAATTTATGGAACCTCAAAGGGGATTTTGAAGTAATTGATCTTGATTACGGATTTTACCTGTTTAATTTCTATATGAAGGAAGGCAGTTTCAAAGTTTTTACAGGTTGTCCTTGGATAATCATGAACCATTATCTCACTTTGAGGAAATGGGAGGCCAACTTTATCCCTTCCAGGGCATTGGAAGTCACTATGACACTGTGGCTAAGACTTCCGGAATTATCACTTGAATACTATGATGAAAGGATACTTTACTAGATTGCCAAAGCACTAGGGAAAATAGTTAAGGTTGACAACAAAACTGCAATAACGGATAGGTAAATATGCCAGAATATGTGTTGAAAGAGACCTCAATAAATCGTTAATCCCCAATTACAGACTTGGAGAAAGACTCTATAGGGTGTAATATGAGTGCATTCACTCAATCTGTTTTAACGGCGGGAGGGTTGGCCACAAAGAATCGTATTGTTCATTCTCCACCAGTAGAATTATCCCATCTGATCATACCGAAAAAGCTCCCTCACTGGAAACGATAACACACAGAGTCTCTATTACCTCTATTACTTCAGAACGACTTACTGCCACTTCGTACGTTGAGACATGGACATCCCAATGTCAAAAGGGAGAGGAAGAGTATGGGCCTTGGATGCTAGCCCAACCAAGATGAAGAAAAGGTCAGTTAAAGAAAAATGATAAAGAGCTTGCTATGACCTAGAACTCAAACAATTCAAAGCCTTGGAGAATATTAATATAGACCCACACCAGAATCAAGCCCAAAAGAAAGCCTGTAGTTGAGACCAAAACCAGAACAAAGGAAATCTCATTGAAACAAACCCCAAGTCTGGTTCAAGAAGAACTAGAGACCAAACAGTCAAATCTCTATGGACCCAGATCCCTAAAAGTAGCCCTGCTCCCTCATATTCCATACAAAAATCCAACGAAAGCCAAGGAACCTTGGAAAATCCAACCGATCCTACGGTCAAAATGCCGCCTAAGAACCATCAACTTGTTGTCTACTTCTCTTCTACCCCCACCCCCTCCCCATGCCCCAAACCCTAATCCTCCCAAATCAGCAAGACCTAACATTCCACCTTTACCACCAGACCATTGAGCTAAACACCCCCACTGGAGCCCTGAAGTTACCTAAACCACTTGACCCTAATGGAGGTGAACCCACTGAGATTCTACAACCTAGACTCGATCCCAATAGACCTTATGTGCAGAATGAGAGAAATGAGCAAATGGCTTGTGAAAACCAATTGGGTGATCAAGGAAATATCATTGGAAATACAACCATGCTCACTCAGGAATATCACGAACAGACTCACAGTGGTCTTGGTAGCACCACTGGTTCCCTTCAGGGAAAGGGTGAACCAAATAAGAGCCACACTAGACATGAATGATAACTCCCAACTCCCACCCCTTTTGATGATGCACTCCATGAAGATCCTAGCATGGAACTGCAGGGGAGCTGGTAACTAGAGATTTCAAAGATCCTTCGGCGACATTTTCAAATCCCATAAGCCTGAAATTGTTGTGCTCATGGAAACTAAGGTACCCAGTTCTCATCTTGGGAACTTCTTCTCCCAATTTGGTCTAACTAGGTCCGAAATAATTGATCCAGAAGGAAGAGTAGGAGGTATATGGTTAATGTGGGATCCCACGCTGGTCACATTGAACATGCTTCAATCAACTGCCCAAGTTATTCATGCACACATATCATGCCTTGATTTTGACGAATGATTTTTCTCTACAATTTATGGAAGCCCCAACCCCTCCAATAGAGACCATCTTTGGGACATCCTAAGCTAAATTGGGGATAATTACTCCCATGGATGGATGGCCACAAGTGATCTCAATGACTTCTCTAGCAACTCAAAAAGAAGAGGGAGGCATGCAGATCATAACACACAGAACCAGAAAATTTAGAGATATAATCAACAAATGTGGTCTCATCGACCTAGGGTGCAGCAGACCGAGACTTACTTGGAATAACAAGCGAAAAGGATTAGCAAACACAAAAATCAGACTCGACAAAGCCTTGGTGAATACACAATAGACCACACAATTCCCTGAAGCGTCTATCCGTAATCTTCCCAAAACCTATTCAGATCACTGCCCAATTCTGATACAACTGAAAGGTAATCCTTCCCAACTTTCTTTACCTAGACCATTTAGATTGGAAGTTGCTTGGTTAACAAGGCCTAATTTTAAAAAGGTAGTGACCGAAACTTGGAACCAATCAAACAACTCCTTAATTCAAGCTACTAATAATTTTGCCAAAAATGCGAAGGTGTGGAACTCAACCTACTTTGGAAACATATTCAGAAGGAAAAGAATAGTCATGGCTAGACTTGAAGGAATACAGAAAGCTCAAGAGATAAATCACACACATAACCTTGAAAGACTTGAGGAACAACTCCTTATAGAATATGATCAAATTTTGGAACAGGAGGAAATTCTCGGGCATCAAAAATCAAGGTCCAAATGGATCAAACTAGGGGATAGAAACACAAAATATTTCCATGTTTCCACAATAATTAGAAGAAAGAAAAACAGACCCCAAATTCTTAAAAACTCCCAAAGCATTTGGGTATCTGAAAAATCAGAGATTGAACACACAATACAAGAGTATTTTAAAGATTTGTTTGACTCTGAAAACTCATTTGATGTAGTGGACCTCCACAACTATCCTCACCCTTTTTTGAACAGGATTGATCATCAAATTCTTGAAAACCCTGTCACTTATTATGAAATCAAGAATGCAACTTTTAATATTGGGGCAAATAAAGCCCTAAGAGTAGGCAAAGGTAAGAAGCAAGGGAGGACCCAGAAATCGTAGACTTTTTTTAAATCGATCCCACACCTGACCTTAAGGCAGATAAAAGACCAGGCAAAAAAGTAAGATTGTCAACTAGGGCAATTGGCACAGGAGGCTTTCTTCAAATCGATCTCACACCTGGCCTTAAGGCAGATGAAAGACCAAGAAAAAAATTAAGATTGTCAACTAGGGCAATTGGCACAGAAGGCTTTCTTCGAATCTCTTCCTCGTAGTGATCTACAGGTTCAGGAATTTCTACCATAAATATTGGGATGTGCTGGGGGAGTCTGTATGCAATCATATTAAAGATATCATTAAGTCAAGAATTTGCTACAAAGAGATAAATAATACGTGGATCACTCTAATCCCCAAAATAGATAACCCAGCCATGGCCTCTCAGTTTAGGCCTATTAGTCTTTGCAATGTGAGTTATAAAATCCTGTCCAAACTTCTAGTGGCCAGATTCAGACCTTTCCTTGATAAACTTATTATTCCCAACCAAAGTAACTTCATTTCAGGGAGATAGAACATTGATAATGTTATTATTACTCAAGAAATTATTCACACTATCAAAAGGAAAAAAGGTAAAGTGGGGCATATGGTCATTAAAATTGATCTTGAAAAGGCCTATGACAGAATTAGTTGGTCTTTCCTTCATCAGATACTTATTGAATTTAATTTTCCAGCTTCCTGGATTGAGATTATTATGAGTTGTGTCACAGACTCTTCCCTCTCTATCTTATGGAATGGAGAACCTCTTAGCCCTATCACACCTAAAAGGGACTTAGGTAAGGGGGCCCTTTGTCACCCTACCTCTTCACACTTTGCATGGAAAATTGGGCCAATTAATCAATAAAAAAGTGGAAGATACACTTTGGAAATGAATTAAAACTTCTAGAAATGGTCCTGCAATTACCCACCTCCATTTTGCAGATGATATTATCATTTTCTCTAGAGCTTCTGAAAGGGACTGTGACATGTTAAAAGAAGTTTTAGAAGATTTCTGTACTATCTCAGGACAGAAAGTTAGTATGACTAAATCTAGGGTATTTTTTTTCACCAAACATCCACAAAAATAGAGCTAAGAACCTTAGCAGAAGAAGTGGTATGAATTTAATTGAGGACCTAGGTAAATACTTAGGAATCCC